AGTTACCATAACTCATAAGTTAGTGCAAGCATTGGCTACAGGAGCATACTTAACACATTTCTCGCAGGGCAATCTGAGCCAAAGACATGTTGCTAAGTGAAAAACTTACTCTCTTACTCAAAACCCACTTCGCGCTTTGCGCTGAGCAAATATACATGACAGCTCTCAGCTCCCTTAGTATAGTCCATTGTATTTGAAGCAATATTTAGTCCTAGGAACGAGGCTAATTTATCGACGTGCTCCCAATGCAGTGCAGGGCGGGCACGTGCGGCGGGTCTCCTGTCACCACACCTAATTTTCTTCTAGTTAAGCGTAAAATTGATTCTGCAGGATTCCTGTGGATAGCTTTTTCACTCCCCACACTCATCCAATCACAGAATTCTCAATAACGACTGTATCCAAGACGAATGATAAATCTAGCTTCTCCAACGGTATAATCCATACATTTTGGTGACATCCCGGTGTTTCGATTATTTGCAAATGTCTCCTTAAAATAGTTTTTCAAGCTCAATAGTCACCCCCTCCACGACCAAAAGAAAATTTTCACCACAGAGTTGTGGAATTTTCCGGATCTACGCAAGGGATCGTCACACCGTTTTGCTGCTAAATTACCATAACATCGCAACTCGGATAGACCACCCTTAAAAGCTTAATGGTCCGGCCTGTCTACTCATGGCCTCCAGGTGCCCATCTTTCTACAGGGTTTTACCTTGAAATTGTGGCGTTGCACCTCTTTCGATCCTAACAATTGTATCCAATTCTGGAAGATATCGCTGTATTTCGACCCGAATGAACCAATATTTTGGTGGCATTTTTCTACAGATAATATTTAGAATCTCATGGGTAGGACACATCAACATCACAATACATATATTATCTCAAGACGGCGGCTCACCGCCGTTTCTGCTTCCTGAGCTGAGCTTAATGCCTCGGTTCTATCGTGCTTCTCAATTTTAGAAGCTGTATGTTCCTGAAGAAGCTATTGTTGTTATATGTCTGGAATAAAAGTGCGTCAACTTGATAGCATAAGTGCGTATATTATTATATTATCACGGGTAATAAAGTTTTTTGACATCCAATAATTTTTCCTTTCATCCATCCATCGCTCATTATTTCCAAACTTGAATATCCGTATTCATCTCCATCTTCTTCGTCAAGTGTTTCAAGTTATTAAATTCATATCATTTGCACCTGAGATTTCTGGTTAGATCCGATAAAAGTCAAAGCTATCAATAGTTGGTCTGTGTCAAACGATGTGAAACAGCTGAGACAATGTGGACTTGGTCAACTCTTTGCACATATACACGCGCAAATATACAACTTCAATGCACCTCCTATTGACTCTTTCAAAGACGAACATTGAGTTGTCAAAGGATCACCAGGCGATATTTGCCGAAGTCAAGAAGAGCTTGAGAGAAGCTCCAGTTCTTGCGATTGCAAAACACGGTAAACCTTTTCATTTGTTCTGCGATGTAAGTTATTATGCCATCGGTTTGCGTTGATGCAACACGATGATGAGGGTCAAGAGTGTATTGATTCGTATCAGTCGCGGCAACTTCGGTCCGCGGAACAGAACTATCCAGTTTATGACAAAGAATTCCAAGCAATGAAATATATTCTGGTCAAACTCCGTGTGTACTTGCTTGGGGGGGGTCGTTTTGCGATCTATACAGATCATGCCTCGCAGCGTATGGCAGTAAAGACTCCTCATGCATCACAGAGGATGGCTCAATTGTTTTTTTTCTTTGCGAAGTACAAGTTGATTTAACACTACAAGCAAGGCAAGATGAACATCTCAGCTGATGAGTTATCAAGTCGTCCGGACTATGATCCAAACCAGCGAAAACTTGCACGAAACATGTCAACAATGCGAAGATGTTCAGACGATCAGAGTGCAAGCAGCGACAACAGGGTGCAAAGAAATTGTTGAAGAATCCAGGTATGATGAGACATATCTGGATGTTTAGAGGTATTTCAAGGAACCTCCCGACAAAGCACTGCAAGGTCTTCCGTCTCGCACAGGATCGCGTGTTCACCGTTTTGGAGTGCACAATGAATTGTTGTACGATGCGGTTGAACACGGTGACACAACAAGGGCCGTTGTTCTTGAAAGAGTTTTGTCATCGTCTCTTGAGGTATCAGGACAGCCCTTTGGCGGCCATCTCGGACGCGGAAAAACGTCTCTCAACCTTTCCAGGATTACTATAGGCCATACATGTATAATTGGGTGTGTGAACTTGTGGGGTTTGCCAGAGAGTGAATCATTGGGTTTCACTTAGGCTTTTCTTTGGTCGTTGGCAGTAGCAGCTGAAGGTATGTTAGTATGGAATTGATATTCGGTCTTTCGCGTGAACACATGGACGCGGTGGCAGTTTTGTGTTAATTGATAGAATTAGCAAGAAGGTTCATCTTGTACTTGTTTTGGATAAGATTTCCGTCGTGAAAAAGCAGCTAAGGTCTTTGTAGACGTTAATATTCCATGCATGGACTTTTTGTGAGACAGTGTCTACCCGTGTCATTCGTATTACTTCGAATTTTCGGCGTGCCCTGTTTGAACTTGTGGCCACCAAATTGTCAACAGCGGCACACCATGTAACGGATACTCAAGTAGAGCATTTGATTCGAGTCCTGGAGGACGTACTGCGTAGTTACTCTACATCATTTAAAGATAAAGTAAGTTATTCCCTCTCGCAGAGTTTGTGTTGAACAATATTACGCATGTTTCAACAGGTCACTTGCCATTTTACGTGAGTTGTAGTATTCATACTAGAGCACCTGCTTATAAAATGGGCGAGGTCTCTATCTTAAGTAGTGGAGGGACTACGGCTAGTCAGACCTAAATGCTGTCTCAGAATTAAAAGCGAATTTTGTCGCATTGAGACTTCCAGACGACATGACAAGTAGTGATGGAGAGCAAGTCGATGATTTCTCTCTGAAAAGACCAGCCGGTGTGCGGTTAATTTGAGACGCAATTGCGAAAGCTCGGGATATGCAAAAAGAACGAGAAGATAAGAGCGGAATGAAGGACAAGGAAGTGTATAAGATCAACGATCTTTTAATTTTCTGCACGACAAATCTGCCCGAACATGCAGTGTCCATTTTGGGAAGCAAATAACTTTGCTAACATTTATTGGACAATTCAAAGTGTTGAAATGCACTGGTTCATGCGTATACACTATCCATCCCTACACGCATGTGCCTACATCCTAAATTTTATGTGGGTATCTTCCAGTGAATTTGCTAATCCGATTTTACCCTTGGTAAATGATCCATGAAGAAAGCCTCAACTACAAATACTGTACGAAACTAACGAATTCCCCCTAGGTTTTCACCTTGGAAAAGAACAGACGTGGTGCTCAGGGAGCGCCATGTATTGGTGACCCAACATGTAGAAGTGAGCAAGCACATATGTGCGCACGTGTAAACCATGTCAACGGGGCAATCTCTTGCGGCATGCATCGGTGCATATATGCCCATCCTGACAGTTTCAACATAGCGTTTCGTATTGACTTTGCGGAATTCTGATGGACGCAATCCGTAACACCAGCATTGAGGTTTCTGCGGACCGTCTGAGCTAGATGCCTCATCTCGCTGCGGTCAGCAAATCGTTACCATAAAAAGACAACCTGTTCCCCGTTTGCCAACATGGCTTGCCGGTAGCCTTTGTATCGGATCAAGATCCACGCTTTACAGCAAAATCACAAGGCTTTTGGCAGCCACTATTTAAAATGCTGACACCAGACTGAATACGTCAACCGTGGTTCTCTCGCAAATTTACAATCAGACGTAACGTGCGAATCGAGTTATGGAATATGTCATTCAGAGAACTTGGTCGGGGAAACATGGTATAAGAGTGAACTGCTTAATCATTAATCTTAAGTCTAACAACGCAGCGCATGCTTATAAAGCCATTACTCCACCATTACATAAATAGCATTTTGCAAATCTTCGGGTGCATTTAAAATTGCCACAAGGTTGCCACTGTC